GGGGTGCCCCCATGCAGCTGTGTCCCGTACATCAATCAAAGGCTCTCCTCTGCTTATCTAAGCACAGGCAGCAACCAAGGTGCAAGTATTGTTTGATGATTAGATCACCCTTTACTTATTGTAATTGCAGGAGAGCTCCTTGCCATGTATTGACTGGCTTTCCCCTCTTAGGTACACCCAGTATAATGGCCACGAACAAAGCAAATAAGCATTAGAATGGACTACAGGAACCACTCTATTCTCTGAACTTGGATGGCATAAAAGTTGAGACTTTTGCCTCTCAAAGCAGAGACGAGAGTAGAGACACTCAGTTTGGAGCTCTATTCTCTGAACTTGGATGGCATAAAAATTGAGACTTTTGCCTCTCAAGGCAGAGACAAGAGTAGAGACACTCAGTTTGGAGGTCCCTATCTTGCACCTTATTAACAACTAATCAGGTCTACACACTTTTATAAGAAGCCAGGAACTTCCAATTTATAAAGGAGAGGAAAAACAGCTTCATTGTCTGAAAGGGTTTGTGTGGGAGGGAGACGTACACTCCGAGCATTCAAATTGCATTCAACACCTCTATCTTTAAGCCTACTAGTGAATCATAAAAACTTGCACTTTTTATTACATGTATGGAAATGAATAAGTACGCAAACACAATGCCGACAGACATTTTGGCATTTTATTATGGATATTGCCGCAGAGATGATTTCATTAACTAATGGGCCAGTTCAGATGTTAAGTGGCATCCACGTCTTTCTATTAAACTAACCAGGGTTTTCTGAATGTGAACTTCAGGAGGAACTGTGTCTAGTTTGAAATAAATTTTCCTTGAAGGCATGAACGAGGAGGAGGAAGATATGGGAATAGCTGTGTGCAAGCCCAAAGATGGCTGTTTCTTGAAAATAAGCTAGTAGTTGATTGGATCCTAGTTTTTCCCCCATTATCTATACTTTAGTCAAAAACAAGGGAAGTGGATGGGTTGGGGGAAATGAACATTTGAAAACTACTGGATCTTCTGAGCTATGTCCAAGCACTCTCAAGTCCTTTGCCACAGTCAAAGGTGGTGACTGTGGTGGTGATGTTGCAACTCTCTCCTACTGCTGTCCTGAATGACTGGTATTGCAAGCAACAGAAGTTAGTTCCTTCTTTGAACTCCAACAAGGAACTCCCTAGTCATTATGGCTCTTCGGGCATTTTGAGTAATGGAGCCCAAAGCATTTTACCCCTTTAAACTCTGGGCCCCTTGTGTTAGGACTGTGAGCTGCTGTGGATTAGAGTGTCAGTATTTCATATTTCCTGCCAGGTTTTACATGAACTGTTATGCCAGTTCAACAAAGCTACCCTTTCCTTCATATTACAGAGCTGGTTATCCCACCCCCTCACCAGGAAAATGAAATTTACAGAAATAAAGACAGAATCCAGAAATACACTTGAAACATTCAAGCAACACACTGAGGTTATATAAACCTTACATCAATAGCTGCTTGGTACACATTGCCAAGTACAATCAGATATGATTTCTATGTTAGATCAGTTTTGGTTTTATCGTATTTAGCTAGCAGAACCTTGAGTTCTGCTAAAGGGGGGAAATGAAAAAGAAATTCTCAGCTTCCGTTAATGCAGTTGTTATCAAGGTTGTACAGGGCAAAGGCAGCTTGTAGATTTACAATAGAACTTGAGCACGTCCAACCCAACAGATTTCCGGGTGGGGTTTATAAAAAAGAGGCTGATAAGAGAAGAAAGCAATCTACCAATGGAATTCTTCTTGAGATGGCCGTATTTTTAACTGACAGGCAGTATTTGACATTTATAATATGAAAACTTAAAACAATTATTTTAAAACTCGGTACTGAGGACTTTCTTGAATTAATCATCTAGCCTGTAACAGCAGAATGCCAAATTATACAAAGAATCAGGATCGGGTCATGCACTACTTTTTTCAAACTGTGAGTCTGCCTTTCTCCTGACATGATGAATTATCCACTGTTGATAATTCCTGGTAATGGAACTATATGCATACTGGAAAGAAAAAAATTACCTCTCTCCTTGATGATTTTGTATGTCAAATTTTTGTATAATTTGCTTCAAATTAACTTAAACAGGAACAGTTGGAAGTAGAATACCCTGAATAGACTCATTCACTCAAATGGTTCATAGGCATCTATTCTGCAGAAACATTTCATGCTAGAAGCCAGGTTGCAAGATAATACAGGAAGCTGTAGTGCAACTGAAAATGAGAGGGATTCCTTCATTAAATTTGTATCTTGCCTCTCTCCTAAACATAATGATCAGTGTGGCTAATATCTCTATAATTTCACTGTCTGTCAGACAGACAGCTTAAGAATTCAGAGCGATCCACATATTTGCATTCTATTTATTCCCAGGTCTAATTAATGTAATGCAGAGAAAACTAAACCTATCATTTAAAAGCCAAGTATAGAACATGGAGCTGAGATGAAACTATTAATTTTGTCACCTTTTAAAATTATTTTATTATTCAACTCTACTTAATTTTACTTGTCCCTGATCCCCTCAAACCTTTGAAATGCTCAGTGTTTTTGTATAAGCTTTGGGTTCAGCAATACAACTAATATGTACTAAAAGTCTGCAAGTCTGAAAATCATACAGACCTGACAATACTGTGAAACAGAGTATGGTTGTATTTTGTCTTATATGACAAAATACAACTATCTCTTGGGGAATGCTTCTCTCCATCAGACTAAAATGAATGATGATATAGTTGCCATATCTGGGGACATTGTCAAAAGGTGCCACTCGTGTGACAAAAGCTTCTTTGCTGGTGAAGGCCTTGATGCAGAAGAGCATCATATGATAGGGAAAGAAACAAACCCTTAAAAGAGACTTGGCCCTCAAAGAATCTGTAAAGATATTCTCAGTCTGAGAACATACTTTAATGGATGCAGTAATCTCTAGCAAATTGCATGGCATGTGGTACATACACTTCCCCCTAGCAGTCAGAATCTTGTTCCAAATATATGCCTGATCTGGAATGAAAAATGTTAAATTGCAATGTCACAATCAAATCCAATGGAGAAGTACTTGTAGGGGCATTCTAGATTAGGATCTGGGTGTACAACGGACAACTGCTTTATCACCTCCTCATTCATTCCTGGCTAATAAAAACCATAAAGGTGAAATGCACCTAGCCTCCGAAAGTAATGGGTGAATCTGTCCTCCTTCTGAAGTGACTGCTTTTGAACATAGGCAAGGGAACCAAAATGTCAAGTCTCCCATAAATCTAGCCAGCACAATCTGTAATGGTAGACAGCCATCTGTCCGGGACGGTATGAGGTCTCCTGCCTTGGGCAGGGGGTTGGACTAGAAGTCCTCAAAGGTCCCTTTCAACTCTACAATTCTATGTAAACAAGGTAGCAAGCTGAAAGCAGTGAGTACTTCACTTAAGGTTTGATATGACACTTGGTTTAGAGCTGTGCATGCTAGTCCAATCCCAAATGTTTATGTCCCCACTAATTCCACCTCAGACTTTGCATACTGAAGTCAAAGAACTGAAGGAGGATTTTTCTTATGCTCAGTTGAATGTACTTGGAACATTCAACATGATCAAGAATTACAGATGTGAAGCCTAACTGTTCAACTCTAACACATATATATAGTCAGTTGAGCCAGAAAGCAACCTCTGGCTGAGATTGCTGCTATAGTATACTATCTTTGATATGATGGTTGGGGAATCTCTAAAATCCCTGTATAATCAAAAAGCAAGGAATATAACTATTTTTTTTCGCCACATTTCTTTCCACAGTTGAAGATGCTTTCCTACAACTCTGTGTGTTTCAGGGATGGAAAAATCTATCATTTTCAGTTCTGTTCAGTTTATTATTTTTCCAACTTGCATTTGTTATGAGCTCATTCACATTCCATGATGTTCACATGAAAATTCACACGCATTTCCATGCTTATTTTAAATGGATGGATTAGTGTGCACTTCAATGTGTGTATCCCCCCCCTTATTCATACATTATTACAACCAATTTCCCCTCATACAATATATTTTCTTGTGAATAATTACCAGTAATATATGTGTTTCTGTGTGCATCGTACTCTCTCCCCCTTTTAATTGGAGAAATCCTGGAAAGTGCAGATTTCAGTTCTCTGATGAGATTTAGCTCACTCACCAGTTTTGGAGGTGCAAAGTCAATAAGCTCACATATAGTTAATGAAGCTGATCTCCATCATACATTATGTCTGCATGGTACACATGGAAATCTGCACATTTTCCATGCATATATACATATGTTTCTTGGCACTTTGAGCCATTGCCAGTACCAGTTACACTAGGTTTGCTTATCTTGCTCTTGCATGAGGTGCCATCTAGATATCGATATGAGCATTGCACAAGACCTCTTGCCAGAGTTGCATTGTGCCAGGCTTATCACTGATACAGTTCACGGAGTGTGGCAAAGGCCTAGACAGAATTAAAGAGCGGTCATAATAGGATGTCTCTGTTGTACTAAAAACTGCTCTGAAGAACTCTTCTGTACTGTATTAGCATGAGGACATTGAGTTAACAGATTTTTTTCCCCCATTCAGGTCTCCTTGCTAAGGCACTCTTGGAATTGTATGCCTAAAAGGGGATTAGGGCTACTGGATCTCTCCTAATGAGAGAGCAGTGGTGAAACCAAGCCTACCTGTAGCATGGGGTGGGCCTGCCTTCTTCCTGCTTATGTGCACACGCTCACACAGGGACAGAAATATACACATTAGAAACAAAATCAACTACTGTCCTTTCTTTTGAATTGCACTGTTCCATCAAAAACCTTAGAACATTTTATGTTCCACACATTTATAAATGACATTTGCAAATGCCGTTACACATCAAATATCAGATTTATTTATTTTTCTCTGAAAACAATCCGCACGTTTGTTGCTTTTGTGTAAACAATGGTGACAAGTCACTTTTGCAAAATAATTTTTTTTAACAAAAAAATCCTAAAATTAAAAAAAAAAAAGTCTCTCGTCATGAAATCAACGTGATGCAAGACAGCGCCTTCCTGTAGTGTGGCTTCCTCATATTTATTAGAGGAAATTGCATTTAACATAAATAGCAGAAGATTATATGACAATATATATTTTTACATATATATGTCTATATATGCAAAAAAATTAATTTGCAAGGTGACCCTGAGCAAAGAAGTGTCTTTCAGTTCTTAAGAATTAACTTAATCAATATACTATAAACTCCATTGATAATGTATGCCAAGCAGCAATGTCCAGATCCACATGGAGCTCTGTGGAGAGATCTGTTGGGATGAGAGCGACTGGTTATAGTGGGAGAAACCACTTAGGGGAGTGTTGTTTCTTTTGTTTGTATATTTGCTTCTCTGCTTTTTATTTTGTATAATTCTGTAATAATTTTTTTTTAAAAATGAAAAATTCACTGAAAGATTTCTGTTTTGCACTACTGGATCTCCCAATGCACTTGATAATAAGAAATGCTTGTCCTCACTGGCCTTTTTCAGTGATATGACCAGAAGGTGCTGGAGGCTTTCCTCTAATTCAGTAGCCATCTGTCTATTTATTTGTTAAAAACTATTGGTTATGTTGACCAGGAAAACATTTTGTGCTTTTGTGAAGAGTGTTTTCTTTTGTTGTCTGCAGGCAGTTTAAACCACATCACAAATTTGTGTGGATTAAACTCCATATCTCTCCTTTCATTCACTGCTTAGGCTGCACACAGGTTTGGACATCCTGCACAGGAGGAATTACTTAGGCGCTGATTTGTAGCACATCCTGTCTCTCTCCCTTTGCCCCCGCTGTATTCCTTGTTCTCAGAATTGCTTTTCTTCCATTTTCTTTCTTTCTTTTTTAATAGCTGTTTCTTGACTCCCTTTTACATACCCTGGTACATGATGAACAAGGTACTGTATTAAGCATCTTGGAGATGATGGTTTCCTAAATGTCTTTGGTAACTTATGAGCTAAAATAAGAAAACAACATTTTTAAAAATGGGCCTGCCATTCAAATTGGGGCACACTTTTTCAAATATGTTCTTGACATTCATTCACATGCTTGGGGTAATTTGCCGCCTATGTTTTAGGAATCTATGTATCATTTAAATTTACATACAATCTTTCCACATTGTGGTGCTCCAGGTAATCTGTTTTATCAACTAGTGGCCTTAATTTTCAAAGCAATGTGCCACTGCATGTCATACATGATGAAAACCTAAACACATGACTTCGTTGGAGAAAACCAACTAGAGCCCCTTCACCTGAGTCAGTTGTAGTCCTACCATTACATAAACTGAGGCAGCTGTCTTAGGAAGCCGATACAGAAGGATGGAAAGCAACAACAACGTTGTGGAGAACAGAAATGTGTGGCCACAAAGCCTGTTGTAGGTTTTGTAAGCTAGCCTGCTGATTTGGGTGTGGTAGAAGAGGCTGTCCTGTTACCCACTGTTGAAGTAAGATTCAGTTGCCTGCCTGGCTGGCTTCTGTATGTTGAATGGGGTTGGGGGCAGCATCTTGACCTGAGCTTCAGTCAGCAAATACATTGGGCTGTCCCTGACTCCTTCCATGTTCATGACCTGGAAATGTTTGGAAGGTCTTCAGCACCTATACAGTGTGACATGGAAAAATTCAGAAGAGTTGAATATTGTTTTGAAAATGTAGATTGTTGTTTCTCTGTACTAGGAAAAGTAGTGCTTGTTGAATGAATACATGTTATGCAGCTCTTAAGTACAGAAGAACCATGTGACAGAGAAAGTGAGGCAATTCTCCTCCATTCCCCTATCTGTTTATTCTTGACATATGTAAATGGTAGCTCCCTCTACCCACTCCCAGCTCTGTCCAGTCCTCTGATTTGTGAATCTCCAAAATGGCCTCTCTTCCTCAGATAGTGAGGACCAGTCTCAAGCACTGCAGAGTAAGTAGTCCATCTTTTCAACACACAGAAATGCAACCTATTATCAAGAGTGATGGGAAGACCTGAAAGCTGTATTCATTTCTCAAGAACACCTTCATGATTTTCTTCTAAACGACAGTACAGCTGTAGACCAAAGAGCAATATTTATCAACACTTAAATAAAACATTTTGGTGGCACGTATGTATAAATATATCTTTATATTAACAGAACACAAAATGAAATAGCTCAGATACATATACACTATTCAATATACTTCCACTGTTGTCAAAATCATCTGTAAACCCCATCTCACACTGAATACAAAAGCAGCTTTTATACCAGTTATGTGTTCACAACATTGATTCCCCTTTTCATAAAGGAAGCTGCATTTTTTAAAAAATATATAATTTTTTCAGATCTGAGTGTCAGTTCAGAAACAAAAGGAGAGGGAGGGAAAAAGCCTCCTCCAATGCTTGGTCAGTTGAAAGCATAATATACAAAATTACTTTTTCAAAACAAAGATAAATATGATCTGAAACAATGCTTTAAAGTACAGTCCTTTCCTCAGGGAAATCCTGACTTTTATAAAGTACAGTATAAGCACAGCCCACTTTGACCATCTCCTGTGCAAGCATCACTGAGTGAACAGGAGTTGCATGTGGTGGGGTTGTGGTCAAGGTACGAGGTACCGACTGCATTATAAATTCCAGGAATCACTGGTCACATTTCAACTATAAATATTAAAGCCCTTTTTTTTTGTCTTTCTGAGAAGGTGCTTGGCTATTTGAAATAGCAAACATCTGACATTGATTTGGGACATTGCACTGCACAGACTTGAAGTTTTTACTACCAGTAGTAACGATAACACCAACAATAATAACCACAGAAGCTTTCAGAACTGACAAGCATTTGGAAAGTGCAAGTTTTGTTGTTGTTTGTTTGTTTTTTAAATGCAATTATTTCCCCAACGTCTAAAAATTTATTCCTGATGTGTAGGAAGTCGAGGCAGACACTGATTCTGAGAAACTCCTAGTGCAGTCTGGTTAGAAACCTGCTTGCTATACATAGGTAGCTGGAGAGAAGTAATATGCTTACTCCATAAACAATACATCCTCTACATATCAAATACCTGAACATATTGCTTGCCAGGAACCTATTATTTGATCCCACCTCCTAGTTCCAAACCAAGAAAATGGTTAGATCTCCTTAATCTGTGCAGGAATAATATCCCAACATCTAAGTGAGCTAGAGCCTCTTAGGACTATGCTGGATACTCTTACCCCATTGTATCAGCACAAAAGATCTAAGGACCAGATTGAAAGTCCATCTGGATGATGTTCACTTTAAATGCAGAAATGCATCCTGCAGAGAATGCAATCTGAACTCTTCCATGCTATCTGTTACATTAAATGCTAATGTGGACCCTGTCATCTGGGTGCAATCTTTGTCCTGCAGCTGGGAAACTACGGGCTCTTCAAGATCCAACTCTGTATGAAAAATATACATGCCACCAGAGTCCACTGCAAAAATATGTGGCTATATTATGTGCCCTTCTGGTATTCTTCATTGCTGTATTTGTTTGCTGTGTGAGTTTTGCCACTTTCAGGAGAAGCCAAAATGTCAGAATAAATAACATGTAAATAAGAGCTGTGAAGCAAAATTTCAAGGCCCCTTATGCTACTCATATCTCACAATCACAATAGTAAATGCCTGCAAAAACACACATATCTCTCCCGGTAGACAGCCGGCAAGGCTCTGAGTGCATGGGGTGTTATTAAACAGATCCTTTAACAACTTAGACCAAAGAGTTGACATTACACTCCAAAAGAGGAGAGAATGGGAAACCCTAAGACATTTGGAGCAACCTATACAGTGCTTAGAATACACATTCAGAGATTTTGTTTTGATATATCTGTTCAACTGGTGTCTTGTGTTGCGCTGAATCAACTCTCTGGGGCCTTGCTGAGAGTGGGTCAGCTACTTGTGTTCACCTGAAAACCCAGAACAGATTTATAGCTGGAGAATAACTTTCATATTCAGCTTCTTGAAATCTTCTAGGAAAACCATCACATGTCTGATTGTTCCTGTATAAAAACCTGTGTAATAACACTTTTTTCTTTTTCTTTTTTGCTCAGTATGCCTTAAATGTTACATTAAATAGGAAATATTAAAAGGATAAATACATACACCAGGTTGCTCATTTCACATCTTAAAGATGAAGTATTTATAGCTATCTCCAGCAATCACCCTCTCATTTTTGCAATCCCTTTAATATTTGTTTCCATTGTTTAAAAATACCATTCTATGAAGTTTCCCGTGGAATCCGCTTATGAAAAATAACCGACTGTCTCTGCTGATACTGTTGCTTACGTCGTTTACGTTTGTCACACTGACACAGCAGTAACATCTTGAAAGTGGTTCTGAATGTTTTGTTACACAGTGCATAGCACATAGGGTTCACTGTACTATTGATGTAGCAAAGCCAGTACCCCAGGTTCCAAAAGGTTTTGGGGATGCATTTATCACAAAAGGTGTTTACCAGGACCATGATGTTGTATGGAGTCCAGGTGATAATAAAGGCAAATAAAATGGCACTGAGTGTCTGTGCAGCTTTCTTTTCTTTAATGAGTGACATTCGTTTCCGTTTTGTGATCTGACTTCTTGTCTTCAAGGCAAACTTCTTGGCCAGGGTCGCTTCCTTGCACGATAAAGGCAGGGCAGCAGCTGCCTTAGACTGTGCTGGAATACCATCAGAAACCTTTTCTGTGTGTACAGCTGATCCTGGTTGAACTGAAAGCCTGGGAAAGCACTTCTGTAATTGTCCGTCCTCCATACTCTTTTGCGGATGGAGTCTTTTAGGTCTCCTTTCCTTTGACTCTGCATCCAACTTTTGCAGTTCATCTTCTGATGCAGGCAGGTCTTCTGATGAGGGAAGTTTTGTGGAGTTGATGATAGTGTTATGCCCTGGGAGTTTCAGCACAATGGAATAGATAGCTCTGGTCTCAGAGGCAATGTCTTCCTCATCAGAAGAGGCAGAGTTCTCAAGAGATGCATTGCCATCATTGTTGTTCCAGCTGTCGCTGCTGCTGTGCTCCTGATCAACCTGATCTGAGCTCGGTTTCCAGCTCCTGGATGTCATCCAGAAGTGGCAGCCCCCATATTTCCTTCTGTTGGGGCGCTTTCTGTTCTGCTGCTGTAGCTCATAGCTGCTACAGCTTCTTGAGCTGCCTGTTTGGTTGACAAAGCGTGCCTCCTCAGCTTCACTGCCAGAGGCCTGGAGTCCTGCTAACTCTTTGGTACGCTTCTCTGTCTCTTTGTATATCCTCCAGTACAAAATACTCATAATGGTGACTGGCAAATAAAAGGCAGCTATGGCAGTGCCAAAAGTGATTATTGGTTCAGTTAGGAACTGAATATAACATTCACCTTCAAGAACAGTTCGCTTTCCAACAAAGTACTGCCAGAACAGAATAGCAGGGGCCCAAAGGATAAAGGAGATGACCCAAGCTAAGCCAATCATCACCCCAGCCCTTCTGGTTGTTCGTTTAGCTCTGTAGGTAAGTGGCCTGGTGATGGAAAAGTATCTGTCAAAACTTATGACCAACAGATTCATGACAGAGGCATTGCTGGCCACATAGTCAATCGAGAGCCACAGGTCACAGGCCAAGTTTCCCAAAGCCCAGCGATCCATGATTATATAAGTGGTGAAGAGGTTCATGGAAATAATACCAATGATCAAATCTGCACAAGCAAGACTCAACAAGAAGTAATTGTTAACAGTCTTCAGTTGTTTGTTAACTTTAAAAGCCACAATCACCAGGATGTTTCCAATGATGGTCACAAGGGCCAGAATGCCAGTGAGGAGAGCAATCAAGACAACTTGCCAGACAGTATGGCCACCCAGAGGATCAGGAGGTTCTTGTTGTGACACATTGCCCATTTCCATGGTGGTGAAGGAGAAGCTCTCATTTGTTTGGGAGAGGCCATGGCTGCTAGTATATGGTGGTATATCACTGAGCCTCCCTGTTCTCTGAGGGTCCTGAATCCAAAATAAGCTTCCATTTGAAACTAAGGAGGAAATTGTACTATTGCTAGATGGGACCATTGTGACGTTCTGACATATTCTGCAAAGGGAAGAAAAAAAGAAGGGAGAAAGTGAATTATAATGTGTTCCTTCTCTCCTGCCACTACCACATCAATTAGGATTAACTAAGTATCTGAGACACTAAGTTGATGTAAGATGGTTAGTGGAGCAACATTTCTCAGTAACAAAAGTTAACAAAGTTTAGGTGAAAACATACATTAAAACCCCACCACCTGTATATATAAATTATTGCAAAGAACAACACTGTCACACTTCTATGGCTTTGAATGTCTAAAATTTCTGAGACTTCATAAAATATATGAAGCCTGCTATATCACAGTCACTTATATGTGGGCAACAGGCTCCCCAGATGAAACAACACAAAGCTTTCATATTGCCTGGTACCACTACTTCAAACAGTGTGCTTTTTAATAGTGAGGATAGGCAATATGTGTACATGTGAAGAAACCGCTTAAGGCAGGGAGTAAAATGACAAAGAAGCATATAAAGATTTGGCAGAAAAATAAGGAAGGAATGTCCCCAGATGTTATTACATAGAGGAAAGGAGAACATATAAGGCCTTGTAAAATAGGATACTGTCAATATTTGTTGTAATGGAGTGACTGGCCACAGGAAGCACACAAATACCCACATTTGCCAGCATTCTACAAATATTTTTCTGTAGGAGGCTTACATAAATCTTCTTGGAATATATTTTACAATTCTAACATTCATATTATGTGAAAGTAAACCCTCCTCCATTGTAAAGTCACAATTCTTCCTTCCCCTATTAATATCCATAATTTGTTTATGCACTGCACTCAAAAGTGCATTCTGGAATACTTTCCCTATAAAGCTGAGGTCTATTGTGCACTTGCTTTTGGACAACAGCCCGAAGGACAAAGCTGGGTAGCTACAGGCCTAGTATTCAAAATCTGATCCCCTTGTACAGGCAAGATAATTGGCAAGCTTATATTTCTCCTTTGTGTGCACAATTATCTGGATGAAGGAGATAAAGTTTACCCATTGCAGAATTTGAAAGTTTCAACTTAAGAAAGTATTATAAAATGACAATCTATGGGTGTGTTAAAACTCTGGCAAAACAATACTGTCTGAATTCCTCTTTGTATCAACACATAGCTCTAGAACTGGAGGGAAATCCCCCAGTAAGTCTGAATTCATTATTCCAGTTACAAATGATCACTTTTCTAATATTCTTCATTATTGTGTTTGTAATACATTTGCTTCTTTATTTATGCTCTTGAGGAGCTCTGCTCTTTTGAGAAGCCTGCTGCCAACTAGATAGTGGCCTAGTGACTCAATATGGTACTTCAGCCAAAAATAGATTTTGGTTTATTAAACATAATTCATTCTGAATAGAAATTAATTAGTTCTTTAGGAGCTATGCTAAGTTTCACGCATTTAGGTTTAACAGTCTTGGCACTATGGTGGATACAGACACACATATGTGGACACACACATAGTTTTACTAGAGAGAACATTATAGATCTGTACTTAATGTATGTATTATGCGGCATTAAGTAACTGTTTTAAAAAAGTAATGTCATACATTAATTTTAAGGGTAAGAACTTTGAAAATAGTAGCTTCAAACCTCAATCCTTATAAATTAGGCAACGAGAAATGACAATTTGTTCATCACTTGTTACCATTATTGTATTAATACTAATCAAAATGCATGAGGTATATGACACTGCCCCATATATATTTCAAGTATATTTGTAATAAATTTAAATCATGAACCACCATTAAGTTAAGCACATGGATTACAAAGATACTTTCTGTATCAAACTGCAGTAGCACATCACATTTTATATTCTAGACGCTCTGTGACTCATTTGCCTCATAAATTCTTTTGCCATTTTGCAGCCACTCCTAAATGATTGAAATGCATTTCAGAGAGATCTTCCAGAAATGAATTTAGCTGTGTCACTTTGGTTTTAGCTTTAGCAACTTGCCCTGAAATGAACTAAGAAGCTACAGGAAGAATTCATATTGCAGAGAATGTGATATGTTCTCAAAACTTCACTGATATACGCAAATTGTGGTTACAGTATGGATACAATCTCATCTAGTCACCCTTTGCAGCTGTCTTGAAACCTCCCAGTCAGCAATGGTACCACTGTTTCAGGGTTTAGGGACAGATGTCCTGGACCACATGGAAGGAGGAGGCCCCCCCCAAACATAGCACATCTGGTGTTTTATATATGCTTTAAGTAAAGCAGCGCACATTCCAAGAAGACACTATCAATAACACAGTTACATTAACAGTCTAATGCAGAGGTGAGCAACATGTGGCTTCCACTGACATTACTACAGCTATCCATGTGTTCTCCCTGCCACTGAACTATACTTTGCAGTAGGTTAGCCTGAAAAATAGCACTTGGTCCAAAGCCAGGCAGTGTGTTCCAAAACTCAGTGGGTTACTCAATACATGTCTAATGTTCTTTTTTAAAATTAAAAACCACCAATCTAAACCATTAATTCAAATCTTTCTTTAAAAAAATCTCTAGTTTATGAATGTGTGATATTGTGCTTCTGTACCCACAATTCAAAAAGCTACGAAATGGCCTGATATAGCTTCACACTATTGTCCCTGCACTGCTAGCAGGAAAAGGAATGCCAAGCTGTACATAACAAAATGCAGCATGAATGTTGACAACACCAATGTCCGGTCCGCTGCTGAGTTCTTCGGCAGCATGGAGCAGCCATTGTCGCATTCCCGGGATAACGTGAGACTAGGTAATTTCACAGAGAGAGATGAGAGGATGGGGATGGAGAGTATTTAAGCTAAGACTCTGCCTACCTTCTGCCTCTTCCTTTTTGGCAGACAGAGAAGGAGGATGGAGCGCTGCTCAGGAGATCTAATTAGGACTGCGTCACAGTGTCGGATGCCATTTTGGATGGGGGGTTTGCATTGGTGCCCCCCCCCATGGTTTGCTTATTGGGCTTCAGCTAGGACTTTCAGGGCCTATAGCCTGATGAGATCTTAATTATTTGTTTTTTTAAAGGAAAACAGAAGGGGGGAAGTAGAGGAGCGGAGGATGGGGTGCAGCACGGCTGTTAGGCTGGGCTTACGCGTACGTTAAACCTGCAAGTGATAGTGCCCAAAGCACTGTTTATAATTAAATAATAATTAATTAATAAATTAAGAACGAATGAAAAGAAAAAGGGTTAGGAAGTGAGGAACTGAGGTGTTTTACTGTAAAAAAGCGCCGTTCTGCGAGAGACGCTAGGAGCCATAGGAAGGCTAAACTCAAGCATTTGGCAGAAAACTTATTAACACATTTTTCTGCTTTAGAGGAGGATCATGCAGCTGTACAACCATCCAGGAAAGGGACTGCTATTTCCATGGTTCACCGCAGAGTGGGTGTGAGGTGGATGAGCAAGGTACAGCATCATCCAAACCTGGAAGGCTGGCCGCTGTGAGGCAGAGAAGGCATGATGAGGGCCAGGAAGCTATCTGGGTGGAAGACAGCGAACCATCAATATCAGACGTCACATGTGAGTTAGAGGCTGCACAACACACAGTGACACCAATGCCAGTTTGGCCTTGGCTGTTTAGTGGCCAGTTTAACACATCAGCTCACATTCCACATGGCATGCAGGGTTCGGGTGTTGGTGATTCCCAATGGCAAAGTACTTCTACCCCTTTAGCTCCCTAGGCTTCCCCGTACATGCAGGCATTTTCTCTTGCGTTCTTTGGCCGAACACCAGAAGTAGGTGTGTGGCCATATCTGTCAGTACCGGATACAGGCTATAACACAGTGTCTCTGAATGCGTTGCCTTTCGGGGATTATGCTATGTCTCTAGGTGACCACCTAGCACCAGCAACTAAAGAAAACATTGAAAAGAAAAGTATGTAGACCTATTCAAACCCCTCAATAGAGAAGTAGAAAAGAAGGATGTTGATAAGGAAGACAACCGGGAGAAGGAAAGATGTAGAAGGAGTAAGCCAGATAGGACTGGTTGTCAGGATTTATCATCTATGCTGGGGTAATTCTGAGAGGACAGCCCTGGAGGGTGCTGGCTCTCTTCCAATATTTAGATTTGATTTACCCAGCATATGCAGACTTTGAGAGACAGGCTTGGTTGACATATGATGAATCGTTCCGTATGTGCAGTGCGATTCATCCAAATTTACACAGGGATGAGCCATTGCCAGGCTTCTGGCTGCAGATTATGACTCCAGCTAGGCCTAACCCCAGAGAACAGTTTGACAGTGGTCACCTGATCCGTAAAAAAGGACGTGAATGTGGGTTCCTGTGCTGGCACAGGTCAAGCAGTTCAACCCCGCTTTCTCTGTTGGGATTACAATGCTAAGGGCACGTGCTCATGTAAGAGGGATGTAGTTTCCATCATGAATGCTCGATTTGCAGGGTCAGCACCCCAGCACATCATACTTTCGAGCCAGAGCGCAGAGGAACACTGCCAAGGATGCTGGAGGTAATAAGAAGGTGTCCCTGGCAAAGGACCTCATCCAAATTAATTTAGAGGTACTGGGGGACTGGTTGGTGGATTATCCATGGCCAGTAGACACCCAAAATTTGTTGGAAGGTTTCACGTTCGGTTTTAGAATTCCAGTAATGGGCAAGTGTAAGGCTTTTTTGCAAAGAATTTGAAGTCTATAAAGGGCATGGTGAGTATGACAAAATTAGAAAGTAAGTATCCGAAGGTAGGGTGTTGGACCTTACCAGCATCCCCCATTAGAGAACCTCCATGTATCACCCTTGGGCCTTGTACCCAAGAAGAATAAAGAAGAGTTCAGGCTCATTCACCATCTGTCTTATCTGGAAGGGGAGTCAGTGAATGATGCTATACAACAGGAGCATGCACACTGCTTCTTTTGATGAGGCAGTGAGCATGGTGTACAGATGCGGACAAGGGGTGGAACTAGCGAAATGCAATATTAAATCAACATTCTGTATTCTTCCAATCCATCTGCTAGACTTTGACCTCTTAGGCTTTTATTTTCAGGGTTCTTTCTATATAGATAGGGCCTTGACAATGAGATGCTCTGT